TCTCTAATGAATGCAACTATGTAGAGGTAATTGACTCAAACCCCAAAATATGCACTCACCCTGTGTCTTCCCACACTTTACTTTGCACCTACTACCTCACCACTGTCCCAGAGGAATTCTTTATATACACACATTCACTGAGTTATGGTATTCTAATAATTTACAGAAAGTTTGCAAGTAATAATTCATGTTTGTGCTAAAAAGCTCTGTCTCTAAAAAGTAAAAAGTGAGAATAAAAAGAGAGATCCAAAAGACCAATGTACCAGGGACATGGTAAAAAATAGATTCTCAATATTACTAGATGCTTAGCTATTCACTCAGATTGTTAAAATACAGAGATGGGAGTGAACTCAAAGATAGAATCTTCCATAAGGTTAGAATGTAGTGTGTATGCTAAAGCCAGCCAGATGCAAATGCATAACCTTGCCAAAGGCAGAGCTGAAAAGAGCCACGCACAATACACTGGCTATCTTAAGCCAACACAAGCTATAGAAATAAAGAATAGATGCACTGTTACTTTTCTGTTGGAAATCTCTTTGCTTAAAATAGACATCATTTCTACATTATGATATATACAAAAAGATTGTCATTATCACAAAATAAACTATAGAACTTGAAAAGTCTGATAAATCATGGCAAATAACAGATAAATGAGAATGGTACATGATTTCATTCCTTATATTTTTCTAAGATGTCTAAAATATACATTCCATTTAGTAAATAATAAATAAGCTGACATTGGTAGGTTAGATATCTCCATGATTCTTTTGTTTTTGTATTTTTCATTAGATTGGTGAGGGGTGGGGATGGGGGGGGGCATTGTATCTTTACATATTTACCAGCAGAAAATGGTAGTAAGTTAAAAGATGAGGCAATTTCAAAATCATATTTCCTTTTTTTAATTTTTATTTTTAGTTGTAGATGGACACAATACCTTTATTTTTATTTTATTTATTTATTTTTATGTGATGCTCAGAATCGAAGGCAGTGCCTCTCACATGTGAGGTAAACGCTCTACCACTGAGCCACAACTCCAGCCTTGAAAACCATATTTTCTTTAAGGAGATAAAACATAGAAACTGAGATTCTGTGACACCACACTCTTTCAGTAAACAGACACTTGCTAATACTCTGTACTTCTGAGAATCTCTTGTATTTATTAAGGTTACCATGACACCTTTGGCAACAAGCCACATTTTCCTATCTCTGGGACATTGATCTAATTTTTAAAGAAAAGTTAGCTCTGTCAATATAAATATTCTGAACATATTTTTTTTACCATTTTCAGACAGCTGTTTAATGGGCTTATTTCTGAAATTGCTCATATAGCATTTATTCCTTCTACTTTACCATTAATGTCTTAAGTAACATGTGCCTTCAAAAAATAACCAAGGGAAAAATGAGTTATAATACAGAGATCTGGAATGAATGCTAAGAGAGACAGATGGAGAAAATGAAATGGTTTTTTTATTATTATTTATTTCTCACTGTTTCCGATAGAAGTAAATCCACAGGTTCCTGCTTTGAAAAGCTACCTTAAAATATCACCCTTGCCGTAATGAATACTTGATCAATTTGTGATATTTCCATAACTCCTCTTACACCTAATAGAGCTACAGGTATATCCTGTTCTAGTGTTGCAGGTAAAAACTGATTGCATTCATGAAAAAGAGATGGACTGCTGAATATAGAGAAAAATAACTACAGCATAACCACACTCAGAAGCTGTCTCTCAGAGTCGGAAAATCCCTGGTACCTATGGGCCACAGAAAGACTACTGCTTTGGTTCCTGCTTGAAGAGTGTGATTACTTTGGGAGACAACATTCATTAAAAGCAGCACAGAGCATGTGATGGGTGCATGGTTATTTGTAAATATCTATTCCCTACCTCAACTGCAAACAGAAATAGCACATGCAAGGAGAGTTTGACAGTTCCATGGTTACTTTATAATAGAAGAATCCATCTGTTCTATTTAAGCCCAATTTATGGTTATTTTCAAACATGTAGTCAAACATGCAGTCAAATCAAGTAGCCAATGATTAAAAATAATATTTTCAAGGATTTCTTCCTTTAAGAATAACAGAAATAAGGAACACTTCTTATTCCTCTTTGGAAACACTAAGAAAGAAGAAACAGAGAAAGGGCAGGAAGGAGGAAAGATAAGGGAGGGAGTGACAGAACAAGAAAACAGAAGAGAGAAAGTCTTTTTTTTTCCTTCCCCAACAAGCCTTACCTATAATGAAATTTTATTTCAGAAGTCAGGTAAAAAGAACATCGAGTTTTAGCTCACTTTACCCAATTTGAACAGTCAATATTCAGTCATCAAAATGAATGTAAAAAACAGTAATGTTCAGGAAGTTAATTAACAACCTGCTACCAAGTCTGCTACATGTGGGGAATCCAATGCCAGGCATTTATTTGAATTTTATTTGCTATCACTGAAAAGCAAACTCAATTCTATTATTGGACAGGACTTTTTCAACAGACAGTATAAAATTTTTTTAAAAAGCATGTAGTCTATCTTCATTCTAGTGCTATATGGTTTTTCGTCTGAAGAGAAGAATCATTGCATTTTTTCCTTCAAGTTGAAAAGTTTAGTATGAAACAAATGAGAATTATAGAAACAACTTAAATTATTTTTACCATTTTTTTCATATCAAAGGCCTTTTAGCACAGATACTGAGCTTTAGAGCTATAAAAAATACTAAATAATTTTTGCCTACTGCTTCTAGTCGACTATTTGCCCTTTTATCCTATTATTCTGCACTTATTTAACCATACATTCATACGACCTTTAAATAAATATATAAATCTTAACTTTATTTCTGCTTCTTTTTGTCCTGTGTTGCAAAAACGTGTTGTTGTTGTTGTTGTTTACTTGTGTGGCATTCAGTACCCATGTGATAGTCTTTTTTTTTTTTTTTTTGATTGCTCTCTTTGCTTGTCTTACCCATCTATAAAAATAACAGCAATTTAATCATGGAAAAATACATAAGAGAAAAAACATTTTTCCATAACTTAAAGAACAACAAATGTATTTGCTTTTCTACAGGTTTTTAGGACATGGTAAAGATTTTATAGTTCACAGATTACAATCTGAGAAAGATGTTCTATTGGTTAAAGAAAATTAAGGTTAAAGTAATGATGAAATTATTCTTATATGCTCATTTCTTGAGTTACTGATCTGGGATTTAAAGCCTGCAGGACTCCAGGAGTTGAGCTCCTATCTTTTCCTGCATCAGCATTGAGAGGTGTGAATCCAATTCACCTAATCAAGTGCAGAATGCAGGAACCCAGAGTTCTATCTTTTTGTACACCTTTCTTGGTACTCTACACATGGTATGCAATAACATTCAATTGGATCAATCTTTAAATGAATTATTCTAATGCAGCTACTTTTCATTGCATCAGTTTAGTTGATGCTCTCATATGTCTTTAGAAAATTTCCATTTCAGATTTTTGTCAGTCATGTTTTATATCTTTCAGAGTGTTTATCACTTGCATAGAAAACTTAATTAAATACAAGTTTTACCGATTATCACACAATCTAACAATAGCAAGCAATGACTCAGAGGATTACTGAACATGCTACATCTTAACTTATCAAATGATAACAGGATTTCATTTCATATCCATTGTGTACATTTGTATTATAATTTAGATGATCTTAAAATATTTTAAAAACACATTTTTATGAACTAGGTGTTTATGCATGGCCATAAAGGGTTAATTGAGCATAAACAGCACACACTTGAGACTCCAAATTGAATAATTTGATTTGTAAACAGGTACTTAGTGTACAAGAAGCCATTACACATGCAATTATCTGTCTTCAATTAATTGTGTGCATCTCTAAGGAGCGACTTAAAAATGTTTTGTTTCAATTTCACTGGCTGTAAGACCTGATATCTATAAACATTTATTTTACTTATGCTATAGCTTTCAACTTTGGCAAAGACATTGCTGAAAGCAATTATTATTTTCGTGGGAGGAAATTCTGGAGCTGGATTGTCATATCCCAGTGTCATATAACGTATTCCAACCAGAAGCCTGTCTCCAGAAAGAAATGGAATTCAGGCTCTGTCTAGGATTTAGAAATATAATTATAAATAAGGAATTTGTTTTAGCTTAATAACACTTTATACTGAGTGCATTTTCCATCCAACTATAGAATTGCAAAAATCTTGTTTATCATTTATGGTATTATTGCTGTAAGTAACTGGATATCAGCCATGTCAAAGCTGGAACAACGATAAGACACAATATGGGCCTTTTAGGATGGCTTCAAAACTCTTTTATAGCTGTTTTAAAAAGACATCTCCTTTCATTCATTTCTTCAATCATGAAAATACACTTCTCCCTTAGCTGCTAAGAGACTCCATTACTCATTATGTTCTGTTTGTTTGCTTAGCAAAAATTGTGTAATAAGGATTGTAATGCATTCCACTGTTGTCGTGTATTTAAAAATAATAATAAAATAAAAGAGTAAAGAAAAAAGAAATTTAGTTCTACTAACACATGATAGAAATTGCTTTGTTTTTTCTACCTCACTCTTACTCTTCTTTTTTTGTTGTTCCTCATAACCTCACAAAGCTGGAAAGTTTCCCTATGACAACATAGCCACCCTAAACAGGGGCCAGCTACATCTTATCTTTCTACTCTGAGTTTGTAATGAGTAACTGGAACAAGAATAATAATAATAATCAATGAATCATTACTAAATGAGTTTTTTTTTTACTTAAATACCGAAATGGAATAATGGTGATGTCATTCTGGAAATCCTTTCTGACACTGCCAGTCTGAGTTTGCTGCCTTTCAATCAGCTCTTTTATTTCTCATCTATTGTATACAACACAATAGGTGAAATCTGCTTCTTGCAATGGAATATAACAAAATATTCACTTTCTACCTCTACTAAATATACAAGAATTTTTATAAGAACCATGAAAAAAAATATGCACAAAACACATGGAACTCTAGAAGCATCCAGGAGACCAAGTATTAGAAAACAAGTTGTTTATTTGGGAAGGTCAAAGATCAAGAGTGGGGATGAAATAAGAAAAAGAAGTTTGCCATTACAGATTTTTATTTAGCAAGCTGACAGAGGAAATGACTAAAGCTTAATGCTGGAAGCAAACTGTGAAATAGAACACCACAATGTGTGGAGATGAGGAACAGAAGCTTTTCTCAAGTCTTCTGAGTACAGGGTTGGATGGTAAATTCCCCAGCACTGTTGGTATCAAGAGTGTGTTTCTTCAGTTCAGGGCTAAAGAGTCTTCAGGCATAGAGATGCAGATGCTGACCATTCCAATAGGGGAGTTTGAGCACTTTTCGGTGAGTGAATGGAGCCCTGTGGGAAGGACAATGACAGCATTAACTACAAGGAATGGCAAGAACTACTATGGACCCTGTAGAGTTAGAGAGTCTCTTACTCATCCAGTTAGAAACATCAACAACAGGTCGGGACTTCTTGGGTGACTGTTAGGAAAGAAGAGAAAGCATCAACATGACAGAGCAAGGAAATTCTAACCCAAAGGGTATATGAAGAAAGAGCTGAGAAAAATAGTCTCTATATGAGGTATCTGAATTTGAGTCATAATTTTAACACTAAACCGATGTGATTCTGCAATCTGTATACGGGGTAAAAATGGGAGTTCATAACCCACTTGAATCAAATGTGTGAAATATTATATGTCAAGAGCTTTGTAATGTTTTGAACAGCTAATAAAAACATAAAAATAAAAATAAAAATTTTAACACTAATTATCAAAGTATTTACAGTTACAGTTACTTCATAAATATCACTAAGATAAGCATGTTACTCTTAAAGGTTAATATTATTAACATGTAAACACTATCCCTAATCAATAGCCTGATTAACTTTATTAAAAAGTTTATTTTAAAGAGTAAAGTTATCCCTTTTCTTCATTGAAAACACACACTTTCCTAAAACAAGATAAAAATTTCTGGAAATAAATATGCATATATATATATAGATAGATAGATAGATAGATAGATAGATATTCATATATATATATATTTACATATACATATGCTTAACTATAGACTCAATCTATCCCATAAAAATTGTTGTTTCCTTGTGAATAATATACATATATATATAACCATCCACTCAATCTCCCAATCAAGAGTACAGGAAGGGAGTCATATTTCTTCTCTTCTTCGTCTCACTCAAGAAGTAAAAAACCATCCTCCCAATTATTGGAATCAAAAAACCCAGGGGCTGGGGCTGTAGCTGAGTGGCACAGCAGTTGCCTAGCATGTGTGAGGTACTGGGTTCAATCCTTAGCAACACATAAAAATAAACAAATAAAGGCAAGCTTTCCATCTATAACTACACAAAACAAAATAAAAAACTAAGAGTTCTCCCATTTTCCCCACATACCTTCCATCTGTGTACACCATCACCTTGACCTCCAAAACATAATCCACTCTAAATCTAGAACTATGCTATCTTCAGTGCTATCATTCCTTGTTAAATTATTATTGCTTTGGTATGGACTATTATAATATCCTCATGATTTATCTCTTCAACCCATCTTTCTACCTATTACTGATTCCGTATACAATATGATAGTGTTTTCTAGAAGTGGAAATCAGTTCATGCTGAACTCCTATTGTAATTTCTCTTTTGAATTTTCACCACATCAGAATAAAATCCAGTCTTCTTAGTCTATTTACAAAATTTCAGATAATCTGTTCCCTGGCTTTTTCTTATTTCATCCCCACTCTTCATCTGGCATCATTTCTCAGTAATGGACCCCCACCCCACATTGTGCTCATATTCATTTTTATTTGCATTACTTGTTAGGAACCCAAGTATTTAATTTCCAATTTATAGTTAAGAGTATTTTAAAGAATGAGGAAGTCAGAAAAGGCACACTCATACATCGCTGGTGGGACTGCAAATTGGTGCAACCAATATGGAAAGCAGTATGGAGATTCCTTAGAAAACTTGGAATGGAACCAACATTTGACCCAGCTATCCCATTCCTTGGTCTATAGCCAAAGGACTTAAAAATAGCATATTATAGTGACGCAGCCACTTCGATGTTTATAGCTGCACAATTTGCAACAGCTGAGATGTGAAACCTATATATATATATATATATATATATATATATATATATATATATATATATATAATCTTTAACTGTGGTATATATACAATAGAATATTATTCAGCGTTAAAAGAGAATAAAATTATAGCATTTGCAGGCAAATGGATGGAGTTGGAGAATATCATGATAAGCGAAGTAAACCAATCCCCTAAAAATCAAAGGCCAAATGTTTTTTTTTGATAAGTGGATGCTGATCCATAATGGGGGGAAGGGTGTGGGGAGAATAGAGGAACTTTGTCTGGGCCAAGGGGAGTGAGGGAAGGGGAGGGGGCATGGGAGTAGGAAAGATGGTGGAAGATAACAAACATCATTACTCTAGGTACATGTATGACTGCTTATATGATGCAACTCTATGTTGTGTAAAAACAGAGAAATGAAAAGTTGTGCTCCATTTGTGTACAATGAACCAAAAGCTTTCTGATGTCATGTATAACTGATTAGAATAGTAAAAAAAAAAAATTAAAAAGAATGAGGAAGTCTTAATCCAGTAAAATGACACGATCAATAAAGCATTTCAACAAATGTGGTTACTTTGAGCACAGCTACGGTATGTGTTAGGAACCATGAGTGGGTTTAATATTGTTTCTGCATGAAAAGGTGCTAATGAGAGAGATGAGGCTGGAAAGGAAGTAGGAAAAGGATTATAACAGGCCTTCTTGGCTTTGTTAGAACATTGAATTCTATAGGATCTTTGTAGACTCTCATAAAAGCTGTAGTTTGTTTCTCCCCACCCCCAAGAGGGAAAAATCACTTAGAAGTACTTTAACAAAATTTTGCATATAATTTCATGATGTATCCTGACTGCCTGGGCACAATTCTTAAATCAGGGTTAAATGTCCTGAGCCAATCCACAGAGTATTTTGGAGTCCCTGAAAGATGTTAATTGGTATGGTATTTTTTTAAAGAGAGAGAGAGAGAGAGAGAGAGAGAGAGAGAGAGAGAGAGAGAGAGAGAGAGAATTTTAATATTTATTTATTTTTTTTTAGTTTTTGGCGGACACAACATCTTTGTTTGTATGTGGTGTTGGGATCGAATCCGGGCCGCACACATGACAGGCAAGCGCGCTACAGCTTGAGCCACATCCCCAGCCCCAAATTGGTGTGGTATTTTAAGAAATTTGTCATGGTGGACTTTTACTTTCAATAGAATAAAAATGAAAAAGATAATATTGAAGATGGAAGAATGGTTTGTAAATTATTCAATTAAGTCCAGAAATGTTGAAAAGGAAAATAATGGAATTTATAAACATGTTATTTACCAGATGATTGCTAGAGGAATAAATGATTGATTGTATATGATAAGTGATGAGAAAAAAGTAGTAAATATTAATCCCCATGCTTAGATTCCTCTTATATCCCATTCTTTTTTTTCTTTTTTTTTTTGACAACTCTTCTACTTGTTTGTTCAAAACTACACAATAAGCTCAAATGCAAAGCCAAGTTTGAGAACTGTCATTTCAAAAGATAGCCAATTCAGTTGTTCCACTCCTAGTGATTCTAAGGCTCTGATGAAGACATAAGGGTCCTTCTTTACAATATTTACCAACTACCTTTTATGAAATAAATGTACTTTATTTGATTTTATGATCTTAGGTCAAAAATCAATGAAACCAATAGCCAAACTGATGTATTGTCTGCTACTTTATTGCCTAAAAGGACTATCTTTACCAAATGTTTACAGTAATTTTGAATATATTAGGAAAATGGAATTAAAATCTTTAAATAAAGCCTCAAAAACACTTAAGAAATTTTTACTTTTTTGAATGAGATGTTCATATAAATACTTGTTAATTTGAACTGAATTATAGAAGGCAGTAAGATACCCATATATTGATGTAAAAGAAAAGTTTAAGTACACCACTAGAATAATTTTAAGATAACATAATTCCTACAGCTTGAGCAAATTGGCTTTAAGTAAATGAAATGACTCTGGCTCTTACAATATTAAAACTATCAAACAGACAGTAATGCATTAAAAACAGCTTAGAAAGGAATACAGTGTTTTAAAACATGTAGATGAAATTTGACTTACTGATAAAATTAAAATGCAATGTCATTTTTCACTCTCATGCTTAAGTTTTGCATTGTTTGCAACAATATGACTTTTTAAAAAAGGTTTCAAATTTTATTTAACTTGACAAGTTATAAAATAAAATGTTCCTCTTCACTAGACATTGTACATTGCCATTGCCTTGAGTAGAGCAAAAGACAAGAATTCTTTACAAAACCATGAAAACACTAGATATTTCTCATTGGAGAACAATTACATATATGTACTGCCTTCTCCCCAATAATTAGAAATAATTGCATATTAACAGCTCATTTTATTTTGATATTCTTCCTTAATCTATTACAAATTGCTTTCTAAGGGATATGTCATTTGATCCTCACAATAATTTATGGGTTAGATAGAGCCAGTGTAAACCCCAAAAGATTTGAGGTTTCAATTTTGACTTGCCAAAGGTAAGAAAAAAAAAAGCTTGTACATTTTATATTCTTATCACTTGTAGATCAAGAGATTTTCAATGTGATTGTTGTACACATGAAAGGAGTCAGGCTTATTGTAGTGAGAACTGTATTTGCACTTTTTTATGTTCAGAAACAGGCACTATGAATAGATCATGCTAATGCTCTCCAGGATCTCTACATAAAAGTTTCACAAAGTGGAAAAAAAATCACAATATAAAGACAAAGACATAGAAAACAACCTATGAATGAGAAGTTAGAAATGGATGTATAGGTATATTATTCTTCAGGAGCAAAGAATATAAAAAGAAAATAGAATGAGTGGGTTATAGACTTGAACATGATAATAAGCAATACAATTTAATAAAACAATAAATAAAAGCAGCATGACCTGTGGATGCAATTATCTCTGCGTTGGAATTCTAGAACACTACCTATTCCAATAAAATGCAGCTCACTTTATTTTAATTGAATGAACCTGCCTAGTTAGGAACACTTCTCTGGCAGTTATTTTGTTAAAGTTTCAATGTCTTTTGAGTTAACAGAAAGACATTCGTTAAAAGGAAGAATCAGACAAGAACAAGAGAGAATTGTGTAAGAGTTATGATAAGGAAACAGACCAAATAAAACATATTAACAACTGTTGACTGGTATAAAAGCAGAAGAAAACAAAACACACACACAGGCACACACAAACACACACACTGCAATTTAGCAAAGAATGCATTTATAACAAATTCTACTTACTTTCTTGCTTTGAGCAAAGTTCAGCCTAAAAAGCTGCCACAGGTTGTGTGTGGAATGTTTGCCTAGCGAGTGAGCATATGGAAATCCTTGGGTTCCACCCCTAGTACTTCAAGGGGAAAAAAAAAATTGCTATGTACTTTATGTACTTTTACTTCTTGTGTAAATTGCTTTCCAGAGATGTTAGGACAAGAATTAAATAGGCACACTTGATCTAATTTCCAGCCTGCAATGAAACACTAAACACAGGGTTTTAGAGCAATATGGTGAATGAACAACAGATTCCAGCCATCTTCTAGCCACAAAGACACCAATTCAAACATACAACTACCCAGAAACACAAAGGAAGGCAGGCAAAAGTCATTTTGTTTGATTTTATTCTAATTACAAGAAAAAATACATGGGAAAGGAGAAAGGGAAAGTTTGTCCATGTCACCACTGTGAGCTCCAAGCAGCAGTTCCATGGAAAGAGAAGTTACCCACTGAAGAAGGGAGAGGAAAGTAAATCAGAGAGCATAACTCCAACATTAGGACTTCAGTCAGCCAGTAGCACCTGGTTGCAATAGGTTTAGGCTAGGAGTCTAACTCAGCAGCAGGCATCCCACAGCAGCAAAGATTTGGTACTGGCCTCATGTGGTGGTGATTTGGGAGGCTGTGGGATCTGGGTGTAATTTAATATTATGGTATCAATAGTCATAGGACTGCCTATAAATTTGCTCCCCAAACCTAAAGCAGAACAACACAGAGAGAGGAATTCTCCACTTGGAGGAAGTCATTATATAGAAGCCGTGGGCAGTCCCTTGAGGACAAGGCCTAGAGTCAGGCCTGACCTTAGGGCAGTGGCTGCAGATGAAGTATTCTGGCTTACCCTGGCCTCAGTGGAGTCTTATAAGGATAGAGAACCAATTTTTGAACACCCTTTCAGTTCATTTTAAGCAGCACACAAACTGGGTATTTAAGACAGACCTGGACTTGGAGTTCCCTCTATTGTTAAAAGATAACCGCACACAAAATAAAGGACATGATCACTGTGGACTGAGGGTGCCCTCAAGTGCTAAAATAGCAGGAATGCACATAAGCTCAACCTACTTTATATTTCTGAAAGACAGGTGCAGTCTGATTGTGGAGACTGAAATGAATACCTGAAATGAATAATCCTTCAAAGTTCAGACAGCTTTGCTCACCAACCAGTTTCAAGAACTTTCAAGAAAATATAAACTCATCCAACAGAAAGAAAGAATAGTGTAACAATAACTGATACATATCGACTCCTGAATGGAGGATTCAAATGAACTGTTTTAAGGAAGCTCACCAAGATTCAAGCAAACCAAGATAAATGACTCAATAGCAGAGAGGAAAAACAAAAATTAAAGTAATTTTTAAAAATTACTGATATAATTTTAGCAAAATTACTGAAGTGTTTTAATTTTTTAAAGTACTGAAGGAAAAGACAAGGAACCAATAATACTATACCCAGCAAAATATCCTTTAGATATTAAGGTGAGATATATTTCCAAGCCAACAAAAACTGATAGACACAAAATGAGACATCAAAAATTCAAAATGTGGAGAAACATGAATGGCAAAAGAATATTTTATCAGCATTTGTTTCTTTCTGTTTATTACTATTTTTATAATCATATTAAGGTGCTATCATTTTAAAATAACTTACTATAATCAAAAGATGATTTTGTAAGCCTCTTGGTAATTATGAAGAAAATATCTATATTAAACACTTCAAAACTAATAATCAAAAAATCAAAATATAGATAAAATTACTTAAACCAAAAAACATTTTAAGAAAAAGAGGTAAAAAAAGAAAAGAGCTATAGTAAAACTAGAAAACAAGTAACAAAATGGCAGTAGTAAAATTATATTATCAATAACTAACAAAATGTTGATGGATTATTCCAACTAAAAGACATAAAGTTATTTAAAGGACAAAATTCAAGACCCAACTATATGTTGCTTACAGGCACCATGCTTCACTTCTGAAGACATATATAGTGTATAAGTGTAGAGATGGAATAGGATATTCCATGTATAAGTAATCCAAAAGAAAGCAGGAGTATGGCCCTGTTTATATCAGATGAGATATATTTCAAATAAAAAGTAGGGGAAAAAGACAAGGAATATCATTAAATAATGATAAAGGGGTAAATTCAGCAAGAAGATATATATATATATATATATATATATATATATATATATATATATATATATTGCAAACATATTTACATAATTATAAATATATGTGCACCCAGTATGAGTATAGCAAAATATACAAAGAAAATACTAACAGACCTAAAGGAAAAAGTAGACTCCAATATATAAATTAATTACAGACTTTAACATCCTATTTCAGCAATAGGTAGATCATTCAGATAGAAAATCTATTGTAAGAACATCTATTATGAAAAATACAGAAAATAACAAGTCCTGAGAAAGATGGGGGAAAATGAAACCATTGTACACTTTGGCATGAATATAAATTTATACAGCCACTATGGAAAACAATATAAAGGTCAGTTAAAAAGATAGAATTACTGTGTGACTCAGAAATTCCAGTACTGGGTATATGTTCACAGGAACTGGTATCAGTTTATTAAAGAGACATCTGCAATGCCATGTTTATTGAAGTTCTGTTCATAATAGTTGAGAAATGGAATTGAAAAAGAAAATGTGGTACACATACATGAAAGAATACCATTCAGTCATAAAAAAAATGAAATCCTGTCAGTTGCAAACAGATAAATGGAACTGAAAATCATCACCTTAAGTAAAATAAGCCAGACACAAAAAGACAGATACTAGGGATATTACTCATATGCAAAATCTGAAAAAGTTGACCTCAGAGATATTGAGTGTAGAATGGTGATTTTCAGAGAAAGGCTGGGAAGAGAACAACAGGTATTCCACTGTAGTTAGAAAGGAAAATAGAAATTCTGGTTTTCTATTGCATGATAGTATGACTATGGTATACAGCCTATTTCAAAAAGGCTAAAATAAAGAATTTTGAATTGTTTCATCATAACCATTCATAATAAATGTTTTAGGAGATAGAGAAGTTAAACCTGATTTAAATATTACACAATGAATGCACATATTTGAAACATCATTTTGCCGTAGTCCAGCTGGGCTGCCTAAGTTCGGGTGGGCAAAATAACCGAGAGGTGACAAGCAACTTGAAGGTTGAAGCAGGAACTACTTTATTGCGAGTGAACTCAGCAGGAACTGAGAACTCAAAGTAGCAGGCACCCAGGGTAGCAGGAGCCACTTCTCTGCCGGACCACAGAGGTACATATACCCAACTAATTACACACAGCTTATCTTAATTGACATCATCTAGACACAGCAGTCAGTCATTAAGGAATCCTCATCATCTTAATGGCTCGCTGGCAGTGTTGGCTCACGAACCACTCCTCCTGGCATACTGCCAGGTGCCATCTTAACTTGGTTGTGGCCCTGAACATCATTTGAACCTTATTACTGGGCAAGATCTATTATACTTTTATGTGTCAGCTAAAATTAAAGAGTAAAAGAATTAAAAATGTCTTTAAGACCAAATTAAATATAAAACAACTTAAAAGAAAGAATAAATGCTTGAGGTGATAGGTATGTTTATTCTGATTTGAACGTTGTGCACATATACCTATATTGAAACATTACATCTTACCTCACAAATTTGTGAAACTTTTATGTTTCAGCTAATTTTCAAAATTTTAAAAGATAAAACAACAAAATTCAATTTAACAAAATTGAAAATGATCTTCAAAAAAGTTTAACCAGACCTCAAATATCAATATGAACACTGGTGAAATAGCATCATTGTACAGGAAAACCACTAGGAGAAGCTCTGAAGAAGACAACCAATAGTACAGAGTTCAAGCTCAGTGAAAACCAATCACAGGAAAGAGACAGTGGGCCCATTTAACTATGTAGTATTATTTAGCCATAATTTGGATATTTAGGTATAATTAGGATGCATGAACTCAGATAATTTGGTAACTTGCACCTTGGTAAATCTCTGTCCTCCTACTTTAACAGATAAAATTTAAATAATTTTTGGAAGTTTTTGCATTCATAAATTTGCAAAAAAAGAAGATTTAAGATTTATACTTAAACCCTGATAGTAATTCTCCCATTTATTAATTGTGAAGCATTTTAATACTCATTTAAATTCTGTGGCCCTTAGTTTCTGCCTCTGTACAATAAAATTGGATGAGAACCATATGTTGTATTAATTCTTTCTGACAAGTGAATACAAAAATCAGTGATTACACAATTAGATCTCTATCAAATAAGTAAAGGTGTATTGCAGTGAATCATATATTCTAGGTAAATCACACCTTGATGCTTATTGTACTGATATAACTTTTTTATGAGTATGCAATCCACTGGTGATTTAAGAAGTTCTAATAGATTATTAAATGTAACTGTATTTAAATCAATTTTTCCAGATCTCTCTGTTTGCCAATTAGCAGCAGAGTTCATTCAGCCAATAATTAGGAAGGGATACTTATGTTCTAGGTATTGTGCTACACAGGAGGCTTATGGTGGTAACCCTGCTGCACAGAAAATAGAAGCTCAAGTACCCAATAGAAGTAACTAAAAGAAAAGCACACTGTAACAACAAAAAAATCTACATTAGATTTCCACGTGAGGGTGAGGGAGGAAAAAGAGATGACACTTTCAGTCAATCTCACGGAATGCAAAAGAAAAAGAAAGCCTGAGGGGAGAAAATGGTTGGTGTGTTTGGGGAAGTGAAAGACCATTATGGTTTAAGATGATAAAAAATTTAAAAAAAAAAAAAAAGCCCCAGGTGAGAATTGAGAGTGAGAGGCAGAGAAAGGCTGCATATTTTAGAGTACTGAAAGCATCCTTAAGGTATTAGGGAGCTACTTAAGGGCCAGGAAAAGCCATTAAAGGCTTTTAAGCAGGGGAATAATGGCAAGTCATTTGCATTTTGCAAAGAACCCTGTGAAAGTTAGTCAAAGGTTAGATATTGGTGAGGGAGGGCAATAGCAAAAGTTGGAGACAAGAAGAAAGCTTCTGGAAAGAGACTTTGGTGGCCATCCTAGAGACAAAGATGGAAGAAAAC